CACCTTTACCTTATCTATTACATAAGGCTGAGGGCCTCTTCCCAAACACATGGGAATGTTTGGAGTTCATGGCATCCTGATAAGTTCTTTTAAATACTACTTAGATTCCACACAAAAAATCAAACCAAAAGAACCATAAATCTCCTTGAACATTAAATATTTTGGCAATATAATTCAATTAGGTTTATTTATATAGCACCAATTCACAACACATTTCATCTAAAGGCACTTTACAGAGGCAATACTGTTAGATTGATAAGGAACACCAGTGGATTTCATCAAGTCATTATCTTGCAAGACATTCTGCTGGTGAATGAGCTTGCTGTGACAATTTTTGCTTGCATTTTGTTGTTGACTTTTCATCAGTCCCTCACACCAAGCATGCATGGAGTGACAGTGGAGAGGAAACCTCCCTTCAAACAGAAAGGAACCTCACTATGATCCAGGCTCTGTGTGAGCTGCTTTCTGTAGATGGGTTCAAAGAGATAGGAGCAGACACACAAAAAGAAGCAGATGTACAAAAGTTTACTACTCCATGGGTGGCCCTGTCCGGGAAAGACACAGCCAGGCAGATGAGCTTGAATCCAATACTCTTGTCAGAGGATGAAAGAGAGTACATACAGTTTATCACAGTAAAAGACACAGTACTACACTGGAAACAGGCCAACCTCCAACTTCTATAAACAGAGATATCGATGGCAGCAGCACAGCTGATAATTCAATCCAGGACTGAATCACAGCAAAATGGGAACAAACCAGATGAAGCTACTATGGTGAGGAAAGAAGAAAGCATAAATAATGAACTAACAAATACTGCAGAATGGGAGAATAGAGATAGAATGAAGCAGACTGAGGAAAAGTGGTCCTTATATGACCCAGCAGCCTTAACATGTAGCATCACAATTATAGAAAATAACAAGGATGAGGTATAAGAAATTTCACTAGTAACCCTGCAGATTGAGTGCTGTATCAAGCCAGAGTCTGAAGGAAGACTGGGGAGAAGGACATTCCAAAATGCCAGAATTCCAGTTTAAAGTACCCACAGTCAGTGATGGTCTGGGGTGCCATGTCAGCTGCTGGCTTTGGTCCACTGTATTTTATCAAGGGCAGGGTCAATGCAGCTAGCTATCAGGAGATTTTTGAGCACGTCATGCTTTCATCTGCTGAAAAGCTTTATGGAGGTGAAGATTTCATTTTTCAGCACGACCTGGCACCTGCTCACAGTGCCAAAACCACTGGTAAATGGTTCACTGACCATGGTATCGCTGCTCAATTGGCCTGCCAACTCTCCTGACCTGAACCCCATAGAGAATCTGTGGGATATTGTGAAGAGAAAGTTGAGAGATGCAAGACCCAACACTGTGGATGAGCTAAAGGCCGCTATGGAAGCATCCTGGGCCTCCATAACACCTCAGCAGTGCCACAGGCTGATTGCCTCCATGCCACGGCGCACTGAAGCAGTAGTTTCTGGAAAAGGATTCCTGATCAAGTACTGAGTGCATAACTGTACATAATTATTTGAAGGTTGACCTTTTTTTGTACTAAAAAAACTTTTCTTTTATTGGTCGGATGAAATATCCTAATTTTGTGAGATAGGAATTCTGGGTTTTCATGAGCTGTATGCCCAAATTATCTGTATTAAGACAATAAATGAATCTAAAATATATGAATGTTCGAGTTGTATCATTACATTATGGAAAATAATGAACTTTATCACAATATGCTAATATTTTGAGAAGGACCTGTATTGCTGTACATTACACATCATTTTACCGCTTTGGCTGTCAGGGCGTGTAAAATATAAAAACTCAATGTCCCACAATGCTCTATCACTCTGCGCAGACTCACTGGAGCCGAATACTTGCCCCGCTCCCCCCTCCCTACTATATTGCTAGCTAAGATGGTGGTTTGAGCGTAATTTGTCTTAACAATACCAAGAAAAGAAAGGGCAAAACATCTTTACAACCTCCCGATTTGAACAGAAACTCGCGATTACTGTTATCGTAAGTGACCATATTTAGAAAATTTGCCATTTCAGGTACATTGGCTTGCAGCCCCCGCCCAGTTTGGTGTGACTCCTTTGGAGTGGATTCCTAAGCTAAATACGGACAGGGTAAGTAACGCTAACGTTAGCCAAGTTGGGTTTCATCCTACATCTAGCGAATAAAATTTAGGCGGTTCCGTTTCAAGCCTAAAAACTGATTGGAGGTTTTTCCTAAAACCACTGATTTACTGTCCAGGCATTATGTGTGCCCTCAAACCAATGTCAATTGTTTATAAGGCCAAAAGTTCAGTGTTAGCTGCTATAGGCCGCGTCGTACATTTCTGGGGATAGTGTTAGCGTGCAGGCTAATCGCTTAGCATTACCCAAGCTGTCACTTTCTGCGCTCTGTAACGTCATGTCATGTTGTCATTGTTAACAAAAAGTCAAATTTGGGTTGATATAGATTCAATTGTGTTTTGTTTTTGTGAATGGCGTTTCAGTAGATTTGGATATCTGCCAAAATGCAGACCGGCTTCTCTTACTAATGTAGCTAATGTTAGCTTAGCTCAGCTTTATTCAAATAACATCTGTCATAACGTCAGTTCCAAAAGACAGACCTGGTCTCTGACAGAGCCATTAAGGTTTCCTATCAGGGATTTAATCGATGTATTCTGGTTTTCTAAAAGAGATGGTGATGTGGAGATACACTTGTTTGTGTGTTTATTAGCGGACCGCTGCCAAGCATCTGAAATGTTTGCGTTTCGTCTAAATTAACTTCCTCTCGTTTAGCTATTGTCGGTTGGGGTTGGTCAGAGAGTGCGGATACTGGCAGCGGTGTTGTCACGATGAATCCCGAGTTTGGTTTATCTGAAGAGAGCTGTCTTTTTTTTCTTTTTTTCTTTTGCTTCATAGATATCCCATCTTTGTTATATGTTTCCTTTTAACTCATATTATGACGTGTCAGACGATGTCGACCTACGAGATGTTAGTACAACATCCGCATTAACACTTGGATGCTTCATTTCTGTTTCTAGCCCGACTCTGTTGGTGTTTAGCAGTAACTTAAACTCTCAAGAAAACTTGGAGTCCTTCAGCAATCTTAACCTCACCAACTGGACTATATCTGATATATTTACCTATGCTGTGAAGTTTGCTTTCAGGTTGCTTTGGTTGTCAAATAAAATTTCAGGTTATTTAATATTCTCCCTGAAAGGGATTGTATTTATTTGAACAGGGCCTATTAAAATTGTTACATAACCTCTTTGTTGCATTATTTTTGCACCTTGTTGGACAAGGCATGAGCCAGTTTGAGATATTTCCCGTTCAACCTTGAGTAAAAATACCGCTCTATCTTTGGTATGTACAGAAAAAATGATCCAACTACTTTTATAAGAGGCAGGGAAGGAACAGCCCCAGCTAAAATGATAGGTGTAATTAAACAGTAATTGTTAGCTATATAAAGTTTTTTGTTTTTTGACTCATAGGTTTAAGCAGAAATATTTAATGCACATATTTCAAATTTTGAAGTGCATTTAATGTTCTTATTGTACAGTTTTGCTTTTTAAAGCCTCAAGCTTATGGAGTTAGTAGAGTCTAGCTTTCTTCATCGGTCCTTAGCTGCAGATTGCTGGTCAACAGATATGCTTGTTGCTTAGCTGGTGACCCTCACTGTCCATTATTTTCACCACCAAAAATGTTTCTAAACAGCTACATTTTCCTCTGTTCCAAGAGGGATGAGTGAAGGAATCTTTTTTCAGCCAGCTCACAGGCAGTGCATAGCAACATGTAGGATGAGAGTACTATGCTTCTCTATGATTCAAACTCTTGTCACTTTATGTGCAATCTGGTTAATGACTTGAATCTATAAATCTGAAAGAAAGCTTTAGTGGTTTAAAAATAGTTACTCTAAACAGAACCACATTAGTATTGTTTTTGTAAGTGCTGATGCAAACTTGGATGACACAGGCAGTCATGTCATATTCTCATGTGCTTCTTTGCTGTGGTTTTTGTGACAACAGCTGTTTATACCAAGGCACTTTCAGTAATCAACAGGCTGCTGCTGGACGAGCTTCTGTTGACATTAGCGCCGTAGTTGAAAACGATAACACAGTTAGATATCTGATGATTTTTATGCCAAACAACAAATGGCCGGCACAGTTTTAAGTGAATAGCAAGTTCTGTGGTCAAAGAAGTCAATAATGTTCTTAACTACATCTTAGTGAACTGGAATAGTTGCTTTGATAAGTGTAAAAGAATTTGAAATTCGTCTTTGCTCAGATGTTTTAAATACAAAGTGAAATCTTGAATAATGTTTTGAAAACCCAAATGTGTTGTCATGTTTTTAATTTTAGTCTTCTGGTGTGGATCTTTAAAATGCATCTTAAAACATGAACAGTAGTTTTACAAACAACCCTCAATACTGCGCTACTTGTTTGTCTCTTATCTTCCAGAGGTTTAAATTAGATTAAAAATCAGACAACATGGAGATCTAAGTGTTTAGCAAATTCCTAAATCCCTTTTGTGAAGATCAAAAGAGGAATATAAACTCTTAATATCAAAGCCATTCAGGTCTGTTTTAGTTCAGTGATGAACACACCTGGACTTTGTGTTCTTTCTGGTTTAGAAATACGAAAGAACAGAGTAGATCCTCAAAAAACATGGTTTCAAGGTTTTGAATTATTTTGTCATTTCACTCCCTTTTGCAAATGACCCCTTCGTTTAAAATTTTGCAGACAGGTTGCTTTTTTTGTTGTCAATTTCTGCTTGAGTTGTGTCTTTGTGAACAGATTTATGTTTGACTTTTGTTTCTTAGTAGATTCCCCTTTTTTTTTCTCCAAGACAGCTATACATCGACTGTTGTCTCCTGCTTCAGAGCTTTACAAGTTTGATAGATGTTGGACTGTTTTATTCAGATTACATGTTATTTTCATGTTATTCAAGTTAGTGCTTTATATGTTAGAAAGTAAACATAGTTTAAAAGTTCAAATCAGTTGTTTTATTTCCCCAAAAATAGTTTTTTTTTTTTTTTTAAAGAGTGTCCCTTGAAGGTACAGAATTTAACTTTGATCTTGTCTTTTCATGTACAGAAAGGAGTTTTGTGAAATTGTTGACCAGTCTCATGACGTCTTCACATCTCTTACAGCTGAAAAGATAAAGCTTTAGTATGCTACTGGTTTCTAAGGAGGCAGTATATTAGTTTGATTAACTTATTAGAACTATTAGAACACAATTTTTCTAATTTACCATAGAAGTAACTTGTAAAGGAAACATAGCACTAAATCTTTTTTTGTTATTAGTATTTTATTTAGAAAGTAATATTTCTTTACATTAATTTACAAAGGGTACAATAATACTAAATCTAAACATATTCTACCTATATATAAAGTTAAAGTTTGCAAGTTTTACATAGTTTATAGATCTTTGCAGATGGAGTTTTTGTGTTTACTTTTTTGCTTGTTTTTTTTTTTTTCTTCCTTTTTTTTCCTTCACATAGCCCCGTGCTCTGTGACCAGCTTCAGTAAAACTCAACCTTGCTGTGCAATAGGATGTCCCACAGCCCTGAAATGAAGGACGACCCCATGGAGTGCCCTCTGTGCATGGAGCCCCTGGAGATTGATGACGTCAATTTCTTCCCCTGCACTTGTGGCTACCAGATCTGCCGTTTCTGTTGGCACCGCATCCGCACAGACGAGAACGGCCTCTGCCCTGCCTGCAGAAAGGTGCAGAAGAGATTTATCGAGATGAGAGAGAATTCATCTGCAGGGGATGATTGTGTTGTGCTCAGATGCTCTAAGTTCATCCCGTTTACACTTTCAAACACTAAATCCTATTTGTTTTCATGTAGCCATACCCAGAGGACCCCGCTGTGTACAAGCCTCTGTCACAGGAGGAAATCCAAAGGATAAAGAATGAAAAGAAGCAGAAACAGAACGAGAAAAAGCAAAAGGTGACAGAAAACCGCAAACATCTGGCGAGCGTCCGAGTGGTCCAGAGGAACCTTGTGTTTGTGGTGGGGCTGTCGCAGCGGCTCGCTGATCCTGAAGTGAGTACAACATGATATACTTTCTCAGTCAATATAACACGCCCTAAAACTAGACTGAAAAGTGTAGCTTTATGGACTATTGCAAAGAAGACATTCAACTTAATAAACCAAACATGCAGTTTTTTACATTTTTGAATGCTGAGAAAAACTCGGTGTCCTTCTTAAAAATGCAGCATTTTGAAATTTCTTGGCAAATACCTATTTTCCTGCTATTCTGATTCCTTTTTTTTTCTGAAGGACCATAATTTCGGATTATTCTGGTGGGAATGTTAAGATTTAACGAATAAAGGAAAAATATCATATATTTGACATGTATTTGATTTAGAGAGAAATGTCAGATTTTGAAGCTCAAACTGGTTGTTTGACTGGTACATCTCTACTACCCCTGGAAATGAAACCTAGATAAGATTGTACATGATTACTGTCTATAATAGAACACATCTCACATTTTCTCTTATTTTCCTTACAGGTCCTAAAACGACCAGAGTATTTTGGGAGATTTGGGAAAATTCATAAAGTAGTCATCAACAACAGCACATCATACGCAGGTTCACAGGTCAGTGGATCTTTCTAAGGAATAAATTATGTTTGAATTAAAGCTTCAATGTTTATTAATGTATTTATGATGTATTGGAAACAAACTGCATTTTTATAAGAAGTTGGTCATGGAGTGTTCAATGGTAAGAATAGGAAATGCATTAATTAGAAAACTTTCCATTTGATTTATCTGTTTACTTTGTGTTTGACATGCAGGGGCCCAGTGCCAGCGCTTATGTCACTTACATCCGTTCTGAAGATGCTTTAAGAGCAATACAGTGTGTGAACAACGTGGTCGTCGATGGCAGAACACTTAAGGTAAACCGGTCAGCCCTTTTCTTGTATTTACTCTGGCTTTCAATGCTAGTTTTGTGTGGTGAATGTAATCTTTTTTTATGGAATATGTCTTGTTTGTTTTATTTTTATGTTGCTCTTGGAAAATACAAAAAGATCCCACTGCTGTGTTGATTTTTGGGTTGCATATAGTAAAGCCCCTGTTTCTGTCTTCAACCTACAGGCTTCTTTAGGCACAACAAAGTACTGCAGTTACTTCCTCAAAAGTATGCAATGTCCCAAACCTGATTGTATGTATCTACATGAGTTGGGGGATGAAGCGGCTAGCTTTACTAAGGAGGAGATGCAGGTAATTTTATATTTTCTCTTGGAAAATATGCTAAGTTATTTAGATTTTTGCCTTTAGCGGATCAATAATCTATTTATTTCTGAATTTTTTTCCAAGGCGGGGAAACATCAAGAATATGAGCAGAAACTCCTCCAAGACCTCTACAAATTAAATCCTGGCTTTCTACAACCTCCAGCTTGTGCAACAGAAAAATCTAATAGTAAACCCAATTCCACACAGAGGTTTGTCTTTTTTTTTCTTTCTGTCTTTTCTGCTGCTCGGTCCCAGCGTAGTGCTTAATGATTTGATATTCTCCTGCTTTATAACAGAACTAACAGTAGCAATGGTAAAGACGGCTGGCCAACGCTGTCAGGGCACAACAAACTGGCAAACGGACTTTCAGAAGACCGCAAGTCCCCTCCGCTTTTAGACTATCCAGACCAAGAAGCTAGTAATTCAGATGGGCTAGAATCAGAGCTGGGTCCTGGTCAGCGTCCTACCTTATCCCCCTTCTCCTCTAACTGTGAAAGTAATAGGTAATGCAGACATCTCCAGCTACTGCTAATCTACCCTGAAGTCAGTGATATGTTTTTTTTTTTTTGTTTTTTTTCTGATCTATATATATTTTTTCTTCAGCAGCCCTAATGACAAACCTCCAGAATCAGTTGGTTTGGTGAATGGAGAAACTTTACAACAGGTGAAACAAGAAGTCTTCCTTCTCTGATCCATAATGAAACAAACCCAGTTAGATCTTCAGTAATCCAACACATGACTCTGCTTTCTGTCTTTCTGCAGATGCCTACAAGTGACTCCCCCTCCCCTCCCCCAGGCCTGACGAAGCCCATCCTGGTGGTGCCCATCAGCATGTCGGACCACCTGGCCCGTTCGCCCTTTGAGGGCGCTGCAGCAGAATCGCAGTCGCTCTTTTCAGACAACAGTAACTTCAGACATCCAAACCCCCTCCCCGCCGGCCTGCCCCCCTTCCCCAGCTCCCCCCGTGGCAGTTCTGACTGGCCCATGACACCAGAACCACAGATACTCTTCACATCAGGTATTCAACACCAGTTTTCTTGTTTGTAAATCAAGATATTGTGTTCATGTATCATTAAATTGTGATTGCATTAAACATTCATCTGAAAAACAGGTTTTAACTGTGCAGTACTGCAAAACTTTAATGGCCTTAAATGCTTTTTAAAAATTGTCGGGTTAAATCCACAAAATTCAGTAACTCGCTTCGTTTCATAATATGCGCCATAATAGTAAATTGACATGCAGGTGTAAGCATGGTTTGAGAAGCAGTCCGGAGGTTAATGGTTGAAGAGATCCACAGCTCAGGTTAGAACCTCTGATAATTGGTCGTCCAGTCAGCAAAAGGAAAGCCCTAAAAGGTCAGTTTGCCTTAAGCGGTGTTTAGGAAAAAACACAGATTTAAGAAAATAATATGACCACAATAAAGCTCTGCTGGCAACCCACAAAATGCACCAAGTGAATAAGAAGGAATTCATATTGTCATCAAGACCAGGCAATTCCAATTCTGAGAGTTTTTCTTTATAAGCTAAAAGGCCAGTTGTGTACATATATTCAATGCAGAATTGGTGATACTGAACCAGATGTTAAAGTTGATGCCCACTGTCATATTTTTCGTAGAAGACTGAGCAGTTTGGTCTGAACAGAAATGTACGCATCACACATGACCTTAAAAACTTTTATTTCTTCCTCAGTTGCAATCATGCTATAGTTTAGTCTGTAAGCAGAAAATATCCCACTGTTATCTGAGTCATGGCAAACAGAAACAGGATCTAATTGGAAGGCAACCGGACTTTGGCTCAATGTTTTGAAGACATTTCATAATTATAAAGTAACTGAACTTTATTGATCTCACATTGGAGAAATTTACCTCTGCATTTGACCTATCCCCTTGGGGCATTGTGGGCTGCCATTGTGCAGCACCCGGTGGGTAGTGTGGAGTTAAGGAAAAGGGCCTTAATCCCTGAGTGGCACTCTGTGGGAGTCGAACTCAGAACCTCAAGATCCCAAGCCCTATACCCTAACCACTAGGCTGCCACTTTTGTTGGCTCGCACTAAAGCAATGTCTGGTTTGAGCGCTGATGTATTTATGCAGCACGGAGATCCATCCTCCTTCACACATTCAGTCAGATTGTTGGAGCCTTTTGTTGTGCATGGCCTATCTGATTGGTCTATTGAATCATAATGAGAGTGGTTATGTAATCTCTTTGGGGTCTCTTCCATGACGGAATTGTAAATACTTGGAAGCTTAAACCTCAATCTTCCCTTCATCTTAAGGCTGTTTGTGGTATCACACAGATAAATCTAGGGATGCACGATATAATCGGCCCCCTATCGGTATCGGCCTTAAAACTGAATATCGGACATCGGCCACCCCACCGATATTTAACCCGATATTTGATCAGCTTCTGAGTTTCTAAAGTCTAAAAAAAAAACACTACTACTTCTTCCTCAAAAACTTCTTTTTTACAGACTTAAAAACTTCTAAAGATGAGGGAAAAAATATTGATACATTAAAATATCCCAATATCTTCATATGCTGATATATTGCCATTTAAAAACACCATATCAATCTCTTTTACTAATGGAATATTGCTATATGTCATCGTTATGCTACGAAATCCCCCGAAAATTCACAAAATTTTGCCATATTTTTATATGTTGATATATTGACGCGGTATCGATCTATTTTACTAACAAAATCTCACAAGAATTTGCAAAATATCACGCGAGTTTCTAACAGAACGATGAAATTTCACGACACGAGATTTTGAAAGTAAAATAGATCGATACCGCGTTTTTAAAAATCAATTTGATATCAGCATATGAAAATATATTTGAGTATATTATTTTTCAAAGTGTCAGAAATGGATAACAAAACTGCTGTTTTCAATGACTACTTATTTTTGTCCAGCTTTAACATCGGTATCGATATCGGTTATCGGCTACGTGAGTTTTAAAATATCGGCATATCGGATATGGGCCAAAATCCCAATATCGTGCATCCCTAGATAAATCAGTTTGTGGATCTAACCTGTCAAAATATGGAAAATGTTAAACTTTTTATTCACTTAGCAAAAAAAACAGTATTGTCTTGTAGCAGCTATATTGTGCATCTTTGTCCTCCTAACACAGTGGCTGTGGAACTGTCATAGAAGATGCAGTAAATACACAAAGAAATACTTGTTAAGATCCAATTATAATTTGTTGATTGAACTGCTTAAACCATCTAATCCAACTAACTAGCCTCTTCTCTTTTTAAAGACACAATACCAGTGTCATCCTCAACAGACTGGCAAGCGGCCTTTGGTTTCGGCTCGTCCAGCAAACAGCAGGATGACGATCTCGGTTTCGATCCGTTTGATGTGACCCGCAAGGCTTTAGCTGACCTAATAGAGAAGGAGTTATCAGTTCAGGATCAGAGCCCCACGTCTCCCGGGCCGCTCCAACAGGGCAGCGCCGGCCACAGTTCAGGCCTGCCGTCATCCAATTCCAGTACATCCCACCACTTCCCCAGCGGCCTGCCGCGCGTCCACCAGTTCCATCACAGAGCCATCTACAGCTCCTTCAGTTTCCCCGGTGGTCACAACAGCCAGGCCGGTCAGCAGCAGCCTCCAGCCGCCAGACACCCATGGATGGGCATCCCCACACGAAATACCCTCGCACACTTGAACCACTCAGCCAGTGCTGCCTCACACAGTAACATCTTGGACCTGAATCTGCCCCCTCAGCACAACACGGGCCTGGGAGGGATCCCCATGTCAGGTACCACACAGCTAGGTCACTGCTGATGTGTTCCATTAAAGTAGAGCATGCTAAAACAAAGATTAGGTGAGATGCATTATGAAGACATTTAATATAACAACAATGTCTGACTAACATTAAGCTGGATGTTTTGATGAGAGTATATTGATTTTCTTAGTGGACAAAAAATGAAAGCAGTGTCAGTTCTGTGTTGATCAGTGAGGAACTGATCCGTATGCATCTCTGTCCCCCTCCTGCAGAAAACAGCAGCTCTATAGATGGCTTAAATGTGAAAGAGTGGCAGGATGGACTGAGAGCTCTTCTGCCCAACATCAATATCAACTTCGGTGGCCTCCCAAACTCCTCCTCCTCTTCATCTTCCTCGTCCTCCAACAGTGTTAACCACATCGGTGGGCCAGCAGGGCCAGCGGGCATTTCACACAGCCTGAGCTGGGACGGCACAGCCAGTTGGATGGATCCTGCTATTATCACAGGTAAAAATACCTGCTGGAATCTTCTTCAGTTATCTTTGGAAACAAAATAAGGATTTCTTTCTTTTACTCTTTGGCTGAATCTAGACATCTATCTTCTGTATAAAAAAAAAAGAAAGAAAAATAACTTTTTCTCTCACTTTCTGGCTTTGAATTAAACTGCATTGTTTATTTTAAGGTTTGGATTTCCTAACATTTAGTTCAGAAAATACCATAATGATGAGGGAGAGAAAAATATTTGAATGTAATAGTTGATATACTCTTATGCATTTAATCAATGTGGCAAATACCAAATGATTTTTAGTAGACAGATTTTTTTAAGCTGGGCCAAACGCAATACTATCTGGTGTGACAAGATGAATCGCTGTTTAAAAATGCTCTTTTGGTGTTGGAACATTTTCAGAAAAACTGATTGGAAGTCTGGTTGGCTCCCATTTAAGCCTGATTTGTGATGCTAATTAGAGACTGACACGGGAGTGGATTTTAACTCCTGTCCCGTCCCACTCCTACAGAAAAAAATTGTGTCCCGGGCCAGAGTAGAAATCT